ATCGTTGAAAAAACGGAAACAGAGATGTGGGCCGCAGACAACCTGCAAGATGGCGCAGACCAATTAATTGTACACGCGAACACAGGGGATAGTAGCGAAAGCAAATCCGGCATCTCGATTATAGAGGGCGACATTGGTATAATGAGATATCTGTGAATAATCTCGACTATTCTATAACGTTAAAGAATCTACGTGATTGGTATCAATGCAAATCGATTGATTTGTTTAGAGAAGCAAGTTCTAAAATAAAAATAGCCATCATGATGAGATAGCCTCCGTAGCGAGACGCTACTCTAAGAAGATTCTATAATCAATGAAATGCGTTTATCAGTCCAATCAGAGTACGAGCTTTTCGGTCATTGGGCTGGATGGTCAGAATTGAGAGTATTTTTTTGTTGGAAAGCTCTTCGATAGTTAATGAAAAGTTGGAATAGGAATGTGCAAACCGGTTCGCTCTAAGTCAAACTTTTTGAATGTCACGACTGTCCAAAATGTGAAAATGGCCCCACTTTTCAAACGTCACTAACTACCAACCATTTTTTTTCCATACCAATCACAGTTACATTAAAATTATCTATCAAATAGACCTCGCTGACTTGCAGAGCAATGTTTTTCTCGGCCACATAGACCGAGACGGCAGGCAACGTGTTAAAATATATCTTAGTTGCTATTAACAAGTCCTCGTAGACACTTTGTCTCAGGACCAAGCAATCTCGTGTAGTCGTACGTTGCAATGTTACCAATTCTACTGGTAACTTTAACATCTCAACTTATAAGAACATATAATGTAACAGAAATTTAAACTAATAACATTTAACGGGTTTTTACCCAAATATTTTAGTGACACAAAACGTGTACACTTAGTTACACTAATGATGGAATATAGACTCCGAAAACGTTTTGTAATTGTGATAGAGCCCATTTGGGTATTTTGTTATATACCTTTTATAAAGGATTTTAAGTAAAAAAATTTTTTGTGATAAGTACATGGTATACAGCCAGCTACAGGAACTTAGTTTTCTAGTAGATATCTTAGATTAATAAAGTATAAAATTTTAAAATAAAATTCTCACCAAAAACTCAAGTCTTTTTATTACAATTCATGGTTCTTATTTGACTATTTGAAGACAATTATTTAGGTAATTTTATTCATCTTCTTCTTAGAGTGCCGTCTCCCTACGGAGGTTGGCAATCATAATGGCTATTTTTATTTTAGAACTTGCTGCTCTAAACAAATCAATCGATCTGCATTGGTACCAATCACGTAGATTCTTTAACCATGAGTTCTACCTTCGGCTAACAGATCTTCTTCCTTGAATCTTTCCCTGTATTATCAGTCTCAAAATTTCATATTTTGGTCCCCTCATCACGTGGCCATGTATTCCAGTTTTCTGGTTTGTATAGTGGTGATTAGTTCTGTTTCTTTACCAACCCTCTCCAGTACTTCTTTATTTGTAATTCTATCAGTCCATGATATTTTCAATACTCTGCGATATAACCAGAGTTCGAAGGCCTCGATTCTTTTTAAATTACATTTTTTTTAATGTCCAAGTCTCAGCTCCATATAATAATATTGAAAATATATAACAGCGAATGGTACGTAGTCTGATCTCCAAATTTAGATTTTTGCACGTTAGGAGTGGCTTCATTCCTATAAATGCTAATCTGGCAATCTCTATTCGTCTGTTTATTTCTACAGTATGATCATTGGTTTCATTGATCAAAGTTCCCAAATACTGATATTTTTCTACTTGTTCTATCACGTTACCATTTATTGTCAATAGGTGATGTATATTTTGTGGCCTTTTTGTAATCAGCATGTACTTAGTTTTTTTAGCGTTTATAGTAATTCCCATCTCAGCACTATTTATACTCAAGCTTTCGATAAGATGTTGTAGATCCTCTATACTCGTTGCTATTATCACAGTGTCGTCTGCATATCTTAAATTATTAATTAATTTTCCGTTAACGGTGACTCCCGCTTCGATATTATTGAGCGTGTTTTGGAAAATTTCTTCAGAATATAAGTTAAACAAAAGTGGTGATAACACACATCCCTGTCTAACTCCTCTACAGATCCTCATTTCTTCTGAGTGTTGCCCATCAATTTGAACTATGGCACTTAGGTTCCAATATAATGTTTGCACTATATTTATGATTTTACTGTCAATGCGCTTGTTTATAAGTATTGATATTAGTTTTTTATGTCTTACTTTATCGAAAGCTTTTTCGTAGTCAACGAAGCACAAGTGTAGATCAACATTTACATCCCGACATCGCTGAATTATTATGTTGATGGCAAATAGTCCTTCTCGAGTACCCATTCCATTTCGAAACCCGAACTGCGTCTCGCTAATATCCTCCTCTAGCCTTTCGTATATTCTCTTATGTATTATTTTTAGCAGAACTTTTAAAGTATGACTCATGAGGGTCAGTGTTCGATAATCAGAGCACTCTTTTGCTGCTTGTTTTTTAGGGATGGTTATAAATGCTGACTTTAGCCACTCCTGTGGTATTATTCCCGTATCGTACACCGTGTTAAATAAATCTGCCAATACTTCCAAGTTTTCCTCTTCCACTAGTTTTAAGAGTTCTACTGGTATTTCATCTAACCCAGCTGCCTTATTGTCTTTAGAGTTTTTGATAGCATATTTGATTTCATCTATCGTGATCTTCTGTATCTCTAAAGGATTTAATTCTTGTATTTTCTGCATTTCACCTCTTTCATCTTGGAAAAGTTCTCTAACGTACTCCTCCCATCGCCTTAACTTCTCTATTAAATCTACTAGTAGTACTCCTTTTTTGTCTTTTATGTGTCCTTGCTGTCTATTTCGACCCATTCCAGTCACTTCTCTAATTTTTTTGTGCATATTTCTCATATCATATTTTGTTTCTAGTTCTTCTATCTCTTTACATTGCTTCATCAAATAGATTTCCTTAGCTGTTTTGATTTTTTCCTTAATTATTCGTTGTATTTCTTTATACTTCTGTAGATCTTTTCCTTTATATTTCCTTCTTTCTTCCATCAGTAATAGCATTTCTTCTGTCATCCAGTGTTTTTAGCCTCTGATTTATGTTCTATTAAACTTTCTTGAGCTGGTTTCAGTAATGTGTTTTTTATATTACACCACTTTTTATTTACATCCATAATTTGTTTGTTGTCAGTTAGTGTTTTCTGCATATTAACATTCACATTATTTTTTATTTCTTCGTTTTGTAGCGTTCTTACGTTAATTTTTGGTTGTTGTTTTCTGAGTTCAATTCTTTTTAATTTTATTTTCACGTCAGCCACTAGCGGATTGTGGTCTGAGTTAACATCTCCTCCAGGATAAGTTTTAACTGAGGTTATAGAGTTTTTATATCTGCTATTTACGAGTATAAAGTCTATCTGGTTTCTGACAATGTGGTTTTCTGTATGTGAAGGAGACGTCCATGTATATAGTCTTCTTTTAGGAAGCTGAAACCAAGTATTGGCAATTACCATATTCTTTTCTTGGCAGAATTCTATGAGCCTTTCTCCTCTCTCGTTTCTAGTTCCTAGTCCGAACTGTCCAAGTATATTTTCAACTGTACCTACTCCAATTTTTGCATTAAAATCTCCTAAAATGTAAGTAATATCTCTAGATTTTGTTAACTTGATTGTATTGTGCAATTCTAAATAAAAGTTTTCGATCTCATCTTCGGTCTTATCAGCAGTGGGAGCGTAAACTTGGATCATATTAATATTACAGTTCCGTGCTTGAATTTTTAGCATTATTATTCTTTCTGAGATTTGAATCACTCCTAACACTGATTTTTTAATAGTGTTGCTTATGATAAAAGCTACTCTGTATCGATGATCAGTTTTGTCTCCTCCAGTGTAATAAATATTGTGGTTATTTATTGATATCTCTCCATTTCCTGACCACTGTACATCGCTAACCCCAAGTATATCTATATTTAGCCTCTCCTTCTCTTTAATAACATTGTGTAGTTTTCCATTGTAATTTTATTCATACTAGTATATAAAAGGTAGTTTTACTCACACTAGAGCCCCGCCGTAAAGATGTTTGTACGGTTCTACACGTGACCACTAATGTACTGCAAAAAAGCGAAAGCAATCATCGAAAACTCAACAGAGTTTCAAGAAAATCGCATTACCTTTAAATTATTTAGTTTACAATAATACACTAGTATTTTGCATTTAATCATGGTTATCAGGTGGATGTGCTAATTTTATTGTTACAAAATGACAAACTAATCTGTAACACTGAACACTACTCAGATGTCATCTCTACAAAATGGACAAAGTGGTCAAATGCACAGGAAATAGGCTAAGTGGACAAATGCGGAGAAAATTGGTAATGAAAATTGTTTGCTGACGGTATAAAGCCTTGCTGACTTGTAACAAGTCTTTTTAGAACTTGAAAAACCTAGCTCCCAAACAGATGAAAGGCTTTTTTACAAGCTTACATCTTTTAGACTTAAACAGCTATTGCAATCTACAATGTTAATGAATTTTTGTTTCAGAAACAATCCTGATGTCCACATTTAGGACTGTTCATTTGTTAAAACAGTTTTCTTATCTTTTAATAAATCCGAATATGTAGGTAGGGATATCACTACGATATTTTATCGTCGATCTGAGTGGCTACAAGTTCGTCGGTGTTTAAGGCACCTTAAATTCATTTCGTGGGTGACATAATGCTACTATCATATACCAGAGGTCATAAAAATTCAGAAAATAAAACAAGAAACAAACTTTATTTAATTCTAATGTAAAAATATAAAAGATTAATGTAATACTTAACTTTGTTTACTTAGTGAACTATTAAAGTTAATAGTTCACTAGTTCGAAAAGTTAACAATTCAGATCTTTAAAAGAACTCAAGTAATAAGGAGGACAATAAAAATCTTTGGTAATAGCTAAAATTCAATCAGTAAACTTAAACAACCACTTTTATTATTTGTCATACCTTATTACAAACTTATTTATATGATCATCATATAAATAATATCATCTTTAAATCAATATTTAAAATAGTATCCCTATAAGACAAAATGGCAAGTAAAGAGCAGTAAAAGGCGAAAGGAGACTTTCTGCACACATATCCAGGTATAGTCTGTTAATGTCTATGATTGAAATAAGTTTGCATAACGGTTCCTCGTGTCTCTGTTTTGTAATAGTTGCCAAGAAAACTTAGCGGGAATAGGCAGTGTATTGCACAAAAACGATCTTTGATTAATTTTAGTTTTAGACGATCTCATAAGCTCTCGGTCTAGCTTCAAAAAACCAACACTACTTGTATACTTTTTTTCCTTAACGTGTTAGTAGGCGCCATGTAAAACTGTAAGTAATTCCAAAATGTAGCCGTTATGAAAGCCTTCGTAGACGGTTAACACCCAGCAAAATTGGCCCACAGCTTGTAAATGTGTATAGCCCCTATTCACCTTCAATTTTCACCGTAAAGAAATGGGCCGTTGAGTTTAAGCATGGGCATGAAAGTGTTTACTAAAATCACTCACGTAAAGGACGTCCAAAAAATATAAAAATGCCATCGATAAAGTGTATGATATGGTTTTGAAAGCTCGGCATTTAAACATGCAAGAAATTGCTAATCTTCGAATTATTTCAAAGAAACGTGTACGCCACATCGTTCACCAAGTATTGAATATGAAAAAGCCTTGCACAATATTGGTGCCATTGTAGAGGATCACGTATTACTCTTACACACGCCAGCCTATTTTAAAGCCAGCGTATTTTAAAACAAACCAAAGTAAATGTTGCATCAAAGCATTACAATAGATGGAACATTGACTCACTGCTACATACCCGAAACCAAGCTGCAATGTACACAGTGGATAGATGCTGATCCTTCAGTTTTAAAGAACGTGAAAACGATTCCGTCAGCGGAAAAGGGATGATAAATGAATTTTGGTGATTGACTATATTAAACAGGCAAAACTATATTGAAGACTACTACCTCAACTTCTAATAAAACGCACTTTATAGAAACAATATAGAGAAGCGATAACGGTATTTGAACACTGTTGGATGAAATATATTGATCTAAGATGAGTGCATATAAAAAAATAAAATTTCGCTGAAAGCCTTAATTGTAGTTTTCACTGCATGTCTTGAACTTCTCAAATCGCCAACATATAAAGCTTCGGTACTGCTATCATGAATAATATGTTCCTACAAGCTAGCCTTCCTTAACAGGAATAACGGGTAATAAATTTTATATACCGTAATACATTATCTTTGAATTCCATTTGTGACAAATCTCTTTGAAATTAATTGCACAAGTGTTCTTGGGCAAATATTGCTGCGTTTTATAAACATGTGTTTATTAGGGACTGAAAATATGTGTGAGTCAACCTGATGGTACTTTAGAGACACTAGATTTCTTAAGAGGCAAATAAGCTCAAGTTTCAGGAACCTCTACTATAAATACCATAGAAAATAAAGGCACAGTAAGTAAAAATGTATTATATAGAAACTATCATTTCATATAAAAATACCTTATTTGAGTGCAAGTGTTGTACAGCCATGTTTTCCAATTTTTATAAATCAGAGACCTAGTCTAGGCAGAAAACCCTCGACCATAACTGTTTATGGTTGAGTTACATTGTTGCATCCCGGAACCGAAATAAAGTGAGTATATAATTATAAAAAAGTAGAATTACAATAATAAACGTAAAAAACCAACGGAACTAGAGACATCGAGTAGCAGAATTATACTTTGGTGGAGAATATCAAAACTGTAAAGAGAAGGATTGAACTTTAAAGTGACGATCTGCACGTTACGATTATTCCGCAAGATTTTGGTATATATTTATGAACATGACTATAACATGCTAGGAAGAAGATACATTCAAGGAATTCAATTTAGTAAAACAATAAAAAAAACTGAGAGTAAGACATTCAAATACTGAGATTAATGTTTAACATTTTTTGTATGTGATTCTATTAAATTTGCTACATTGCAAAAAACTATATTGTTATTGTAATTTCATTTATTTAAATCTATCTGTTAAGATAGTTTTAATAAACTAAAATTAATCAAATCGTTAATCAATTGTGTAAATTATTAACATATTTCACAAAAAAAAGTCATCTTTATCAATATTTTGTTGTGCCTTCTCACAATCCGATTTATACTAGTAATACTTAATAGCACATGTTTATTCATGTATCTATCTATAAAATAATCAAATATAATAAACTAACAAAAACAACCAATTTTTGGAGCACTAACAACTATGTCGTCAATTTTGATCTTTCCTCTTCAGCTTCTTTCATATGCAAAAAATCAAAATACCCAAGTTCACTAGCAACTGTTGGACCAGCATGGATTATAGAAATTTCTCCTTTTCCGTGAGATGCAGCAATATGGTGCTGGAGCACTTGATTTCGTGTATACGCTTCAAATCTACAATCACTGCATTTAAATGGTGTAGATGCCCAATGGAACATTGCGTGTTGATGTTCGTCTTCAGACTTGTACCTAAAAATTAGAATGAATTATATGAAGTCTATGAACTCTTCAAAGCAATATAGTATACACCTGAACCAAAAATTGATAAATTTTTACATAACTCAACTAAGGCAGCTTTTCATAGTTTATGTGACATAATGATTCAAAACAGTATATGGGACCTATTTTGCAAAATAACTTTAAATGAGATCGTACGGCAAGTGGTACCTTAATTGGGAAACTTGTTGTAAGTTGTGTTTAACAACATCTATACAATTATTAGTTCCGATTCAAAAACCTTAAATTATTCATTTCAATAATTACCATTTGGACAAATTGGGGTTAATGTCTAATTTGATGATTAAATAGAAAGATCCCAATGACCTTTGTGGACTGTAATTATTCACCAACGCTTTTGTTCAATATTACACCCCATAAATAGGTGGTAAACAGTTCATCTCATCTATTTTTCACCTTTTTTTTTCACCGCAGCCAGAGGTTTTCACCTCTGGCTGCGTTGAGTAGTTGAGTTACTGTGACCAAATGCCCATCTTGGTAGTTAGTATTCGCCTCTGGTTGCGTTGAGTAACTGAGTTACCGTTGCTAACTACCCATCATCCTGTCCTTTGATTTCTTTTCTTTTTTCTTTGTTCTCCTGAAGAAGCAGCATACAATTGTAGCGAAACGTCGAGATGAACCCACTTTTGGGTCACTCACACGTAGGTGGAAGCCTACGATTTCATTAGTTCATCTCATCCTTTAAGTAAGATTAAAATAATAGATGAGTTGATTAAGTACAGGTTTAATTATCCCAAACAACAAACATACAAAATTAAAACTATTAAAATAAAAAAATCTAGGAATATACTAACTTAAATAAATAATAGTCTGTTGGTTATCAGATAAATTGAGAGTATATGGATGTAAAACTCTTTTAAAATGATTATTAAAAAGTTTTGTTATATATACCAGTCCTATTGTACACCACAATGGCTGGTGATCACTGGCCATTCCTTGAACTCGAAATAAATCTGCTGTGGTCTTGAAACTTTGGGCCACGGCTCACTAGCCTGCCACACAAATTAGCAACCTCCTTAACACTTTTACAATTTAGCGGTATAATCACTAAACAAATAGAATCCAATGATCTATGCTAAATTATACACTTAGGTGACAACTCACTCCTATATAAATTAAATGGAGTCAAGGTACAATTATTTTAACCAACACTTATTCAAGTCAAATTACAAACTTTTTACATGTGGTTGACAAATTTTGCAACACATGTGTGTACAACTCAAGCTGAGCCAAGGTACTAAATATTTTAAATTTAAGGACGGACGAAAACAGTCTTCCCGTCCTACTGATGAACGTGGACATAATCTATCGACTTATTTATTACTTCACGCGCTACAACTTTAAAATCACACGCTTTCGGCGTGTGATTTTAAACACCAGCAGTAGAACAATTACTGCTTCTTATTTTCTAAACAAAAAAGCTTCTAAATATTTCAACAGACTGGACAAAAACATACATATTGGACAGTTAAATATATCAAGATACAAGAAAAAATATGGAAACAAAAATTGCTGTTCGTTTTTATATTATACGGAAAAAATAACAATAACAAGCGAAAGTGAATTCTAAATTATATCACACAACGTATTTGATACAATGTTTGGTTAAAAAATCTCATAATTATAATATCATATTAGAATAAAGCAATTTATAGTAAAAGCACTTACCATTTATTGCAGAATCGACATAACACTTTATTAAGAGTACTGTCCGGAGTAATTTCTTGAGGCTTGGATGAAATACCAATAATTACAGTACACTGCGTTTTGATTAACATTTGTAACCATGCTTCTAATCGTGGATTTTTAGGTAAACAAATTATATTATTAACGTCGAATGGTTTATGCTGCATATGTACGTGACTATACATACATTTGTATGTAACACTTACAGCAGAGCAAATTTTACAGCCATATCTGTTCGTTTCATTTTCTCGGAAAATATGGAAAATAAAATCAGACATCCGCCTCGATTTAAAATTGTTACATTTAGGACACTTCAATTGCTTTACGAAAGGAAGACCGAAGCTGCCGAATGTTTTTATCAAACTCTGTTCCCCAAATTCCTCCTCGAATTTATATCCAGCTACATCAATATTTTGATTAATATTAATATTTGTTTCATGATCTTCATCATCAGAAACAATGATAATATCACTTAAATCCAATTTTATTAACTGATTTATTCGATCAATCATATCCTCCTTATCGTTACATTTTGTAGAAAGTAATGGGTTGATGGAAACTGTTAAATCCATGATTCGAGGAGTAATTATTATTGAAGGCTTAATTGTAGAACTGTAGAACTGCAACCGTGACTCCTGAAATCTCTTAATCAAATCAGATGAAGATTCTTCAAACGGTAAATCCCGGGCATCCTTCTGTTTTGGCGTGACAGCTGAATCTTCATCATTAGCAATATTATTAGAATCATTTAAATCAGTTTTTATTAATTGATTTATTCGATCAATCATCTCATCAACACCGATATATTTTGCAGATGATAACATATCCATAGGAACTGGTAATTTTTGAGAAGTAATATTTTTTGAATGCGTAGGTGTAAAAATTTCTGTTTCCCGCGTCAAGCTCTTCCTACGAATAGGCGTTGATTTATCAAACGGCATACTAGGCCTAAAAAACAATAGATTATATTAGACATCTGTATATATATATATACATATATATATATATATATATATATATATATATATATATATATATATATATACAGTGTAGGTAAAAGTTTATGGTCGGTATGTACCTTACGTGAGATTGAGTGGGAAAACCTATTTAAAAAGAGAGAGGTATATTAAGTCCGGCCTTTATATCGTCGAAATAGCATTACTGGAACTAAGTGAGAGCGCCCACCAAAGTGGCAAGTAGCACGCGTCTATACCTTATTTCATTAAGCGATGCAGGGCATATAAACAACGATAAATTTAACAGATAATTGTTAAAGATGTTCCAAATGACTCTACTCGTTCCGATAAGTAACAGTATAATTATGACACTTTATTATTTTTTTTTTCTTTTCTCAAATATTCGTGTTTATTGCATAGTAAATAAATTAATGTTATCATTGAATACATAGAAAGTGAAAAAATAATCCGATTTATAAAATTAATGAATATTTTATGCATAAATGTAAGTAACTAACTTAAAAACTAACCGAAATGTCCACCTTTACTTCGTCTGCCGACGTTCTCGGCAGCTCATACCAGTTCGGACACGATTTAATGTTTACATCTTCCTGCATCGCTTAATGAATTTTACTATAGCATGTTATTTAAAATGTAACCAATCCAAACGAATGATTAGAATGAATGACGTCACTGTCATTTTGGTGTGAACTGAATCATTCGTTTTTATTGGTAACATTTTAAGTAACATGCTAGACGCGTGCTACTTGCCACTTGCCACGCCACTTTGGTGGGCGCTCTCCCTAAGAAAAGAGGAGAAGTTCAATGTTGCCAAACTTATTGGTTTTATTTGAACTGTTGCCTTTTTAGCATTTTAACAACGTTCTAAGATACTCAAATTTGGGCGAATTGATTTAAATGGCAGCTTACTGTTTTTATTTTAAATATGCCACAATTTTCCTTTACAATAAGTTTAATTTAAAATTTTGATTTCCACTTCGGAAATAGTTTTATGTAAATAAAGTTTATTAATGTTTCGTATTTTAAGTACGATTTTCGAATTAGAAATCTAAAAATCAAAATAAGTTTATTTTAAAGTCACATTGTGCCTTATTCGCAATAAAAATAATAAAATTCAATATGACAGCACAATATAAAACCTTCGAACAAAATTATTTGGCAACGTCGAGCTTTTAAAGTAAGGACACTGAACTACGAACTGTGTTCGTAGTTCTCTGACTGTATTAACGAGAAAAACAGTAGGGGTGAGTCGCTGACGTTTTTATCGTTAATGAAACTGAACTGCTTTTCGTATACAAGTAACAAGTTGAAAAACTAATTAAAATATTTAAGCGAGTACATAAACAAACATGCTTTCTTGAATCAAAGAAAAATATACTGAAATACTTTCAACGGCTTTTCAAATTTGCTGTAGTTGATTTATAACTAAGTTTTTCTTTGCAAAATTTGTATTGTGTTAATGTCCTTCTCAAAATGATGCCATAAAATACTAACATCTTTACGCGCAGACATGTTAAACACACAATTAGTTAAGAAAGTATATATTTAGTACTCACAGAATAAATTCACATTTACGTTAGACAAAACATTAACTCAAAATAAAAATTTAGTTTGCTGAATAATATAAAACGTGAATCGGGGTCTCCCATATGTTAATATTTCAAATTAAAAATAATCGATCATTGCAAAATTCAGAAAGTCGAGCATAAAAGCTGCATCTTCTACAAATGTGCATTTTTTTAAAATACAATTATTACGCTTGTACTAGGTAAATGATTTTAACTAAGAAAAAGACTTCTTAATTGAAGATTTACAATAAATAAATCCTTTAAAGAACTATCAATAAAGATTTCAGCTTCAGAACATGAACTAGTTGGCTTCCCAGTGAGAAAACGTAGACTTTTTAACGACAAATAAACGGTTAAATAAAACAGTTCGGTGATTCAACGCTCATCTCTACAGAACAGAACTATGTAGTTCTGTGATATGTCATGCGTAATCACGGTAGTAAGTTGTTCTTTCATAAAGCATAATAAATAAACACAAACAGTCAGTGTCAGTATTAATAAAGCATTATGAGGAAGCAGGTGTATTGTATTAAATTTAAACTGGATGAAAAATTACGTGTTTTAAGTAAAAATAAGATATTATTTGGTATTTTCCAAATAATATCTTTGAAACTATATTTCGTTTAGATTTTTTGGAGGTACTAAGTATGAAAATAAGAATTATTTCTATAAAAATAAAACAAAAAAAAGATAAAATTAGTATAAAATTTTTTCTATAAAAATAAAATCAAATAAAAAATAATTTCTCGTTCTGGAGACATTTTTTTTCGCGAGATTGATATGATGGGCAACATTTTTTACATCTGCCATTAGTACTACCAAACTTTTCAAATTGATGAATAATGGCTAATACAGTTTTTTCTATAGGCATTGGCCTATTTTCAAAAGCCATAATAAATAAATTGAGAGTTTCTTGTACTGAATGAAAGGCCGACAGCATAGCCGTCGGCCTGTCTCGTCTCGACGAATGGCGATGTTGCCAAAATTGTCTTATATTATTCAAAATTGGGTTACAATTTCGTCAAACAAAAATGCGAATCTGTAAATTTTTCATGGATTTTAGAAATTTTGGACCAGTATTTGTGACCAGTATTGTGAAAATATGATTTTATATCTGTGCTAGATATCCTGTCAAATTCTACCATACCGACCATAAACTTTTACCTATACTATATATATATATATATATATATATATATAATATATATATATATATATATATATATATATATATACATCTTGGCATCTATTACAATACATGGCATACAATTTACTAATTTTTTACTAGGAATAAGCCACAATTTTACTTTTAAATAAGTTTAACGTTTCGATTTCCACTGTTTTTTGTTGTTCTTTCTTGTTCAAGTTCCATCTTCTATCGAAGGTTCCATCCTACACTACTGCATTCAAACCATTCCCTCAAGTTTTTAATGTCTTGCATAATAAGTTGTAATAATGAGTACTTTTATTTTCGTCTTTTGATAGTTAATATATTATATTATATATGTTATTATATTATATTATATTATTAGTTAATATATTATATATTCTGTAACACCGAAATTTAAAGTCGGTTATCTTATTTATATTCACTGTAGACGTTGACAATCCTGGCCGACTCCTCTCTGTATTATGATATCTCGGGTGATCTGGTTATAAACTCTTATTTTGGCTTTTTAATTCTGATATAGGTTAGATACAATTTTCATATCACAACTGTCAATATTTTATCAAATGTCTTTTCGAAGTCTACAAAATGTTTCATTTTATGAATCTCTGGACCAGCACATCAAGCTGAACAAGCATCTCTTGTCGCCATACCATTTCAAAACCCAAATTGTGTGTCACTAATTTCATATTTAAGAGTTTTACCAATTTTTGTATTCTTTTCAAAACCGTTTTCAGTGTGTGACTCATTGACGCTATTGTTCTGCAATCTGAGCAGATTCAAGATCGATTGCAGCCACTGTCTGGGAATTGTGTCAGTCTGATATATTAGAATAAAGAGTTCAACTATTACATAAATATGATCTTCATCAATGAGTTTTAATAATTCGATGGACACATCATCTGGTCCAGTAGCTTAGCTACAATTTGTGTTTTTGATGGCATACTGAATTTTTTATATTAATCATTTTATATGGTTGTCATTTTAAAAACAAATCACACGCTATGATTTTTCTGACGGGTATTCTCAAGTTGATTTCATGTAATCGAATGAACTATATTCCAATAGCTGTTCCATAATTTTAAAGTCCCATACTTCTAAATATATTGTATAAATTGTAAATATAAATGTAATAATAACTAAATTTTAACACCAAATACCAAAAACCAAATTTGTTCAATTGTTTAATTTGCATTTTTTTGGCAACGGTTTTCGAAGTAGAAATAGTAACGTCAAAATAAACTTATTTTAAAGTAAAATTGTAGCTTATTCCCAGTAAAAATTAAATATATATATATATATATATATATATATAATATATATATATATATATATATATATAAATTAGTAATATAATAATTAGTTATTATAGGTTAAATCAATAACAAAAAATAAAACATACTCAATTACAACAGAACTAATTAATAATTAATAATAAAAAAATGTTTATTTTGTTAACAACTAAATACTGGGACATCGAATGAATATATTTAATTTTAAAACAGAGTAGCATCGCTTTTAGACCTATGACAGCTAGAAATCTGTTAGGTATTGACTCAAATAAGGATCTACCCTGTTCAGGGGTAAATTCATTCATGGAATATCCGTTTGCGGTTGTTTCTTAGTGTCTGTGTCATTTTGTCATACTGTTTTAATGACTCCAGGCCAGGACTGTTTAGAAGACCCAACATGACACCAAATCAGTTTTTTGAGGTTCTAGCCGTATGACAGGTCGCTTCGTCCTGCTGAAAAATATGATTCTCACCAGCATTTAACTTCACAATGCTCGCTAGTACGCTATTTTGAAGTATTTGTTAATATTTTGCAGCATTTATGACACCCTCAATAGATTCAAATTATCCTAAACCTGAAACTGAGCCAGATCGGCATGCACAAATTAGAACGTAGTCAGCAACACATAAGCCAGGCCCTAGTTCTGACAATAGAAATTTAATTGAAGAGCCAAAAACAGATATTGTAATGGGGCAACCCATCGATGAAACAGTTATGAGATATAGCTTTGGCAATAGATTCAAAATTAATATACCAGGTACGAAATACTGGAAGAAAGGTGTACCCATACAAATGGAAGCTACCTGGTGCACTGATGACTCAAAAACTTTGGAGGGTGTAGGAGTCGGTATAGTAGGGACAAAGTAAGGGATACATTTCCGGTAAGTATATCTAAAGATGTCACAATTTTCCAGACGGAAAAAACCTCAATCCATCACTTCGTGGAAAAATATAAATCAATTTTAATCTACACCACAGAAGCACAATTGTAGCGAGTGACTCATACTTTCAATGAAGACATTTGCGGGTTTAAGGAGAGATATTATTAAAAATATATCGGGATTATAGAACGAATTGATTGTCATAAAAATGATTTTCTTATTTTATATATGTCTTAGATAAAAAAAACTAATTATTGTTAAAAATATATTTTTTTGTGAACCCATTATCCATTTAAATTAAGAACCTTATGACTGATTCAACAATTAAATTCAATTCCTATTGTCAAATGAGATTTAATGACATGGGATTAGAAAAAGGGTCGTTTAGTAACTTTTAGCATAGGTAAAACTGAATTAATCAAACAATTCTTGGTACGAAACTTTACTAATAATAAATAGTTCCCCTTAACTGAATATTTATTTCCATAAAATATAAAAAATAGGTTCAACTAAAAAACTAACATATATATATATATATATATATATATATATATATATATATATATATATATATATATATATATATATTATATATATATACCTGATCAAATATTTTCCAAAACATTTGAACAGTTTAAAAATTCACTAGTCAAAGAATTAAAATGTATTTCGTATAAAATGAGATCTCTTCTATCTGAACGTATATTCTTTAAACAGTCAGAAGAAAAAGATTTTTGTAATTTTTTAAGAGATTAAACAGATTCTGCAATACTCCACTGTTTTGTCTGTGGACAAAAAATAATAATTAAATTTTCTCCTTTTGTCGGTATTCCGAAAAACATATTTTTTCTAAAGGGTAAACGTCCGATTTCACTGGCCTATAAAAAACCATTAAAACAAAGTCACTCGCTACAATTGTGATACTTTAGTATGGGATTGTGTGGGCTGAACAGACAGTTGAAGCTGATGTAATTGACAGATGATGATTTATGCAGATTCTGTCACCTAGAAGAATCAACAGAGCATTGTATGTCAAGAGTGACAGCCCAGTTCTTTGCATTAGACCACCGGCAAAGAGCTACATGGAAGCTTCAGTCTCGAAGTTATTAGGCTTTTTAAAAAGGGTTAGCCTAGACCTCATTGAATCTATCTAACCCTGAAACTGCCATACAACCCCAAATCATCATTCCTTTAGAAAATTTTAAGATCAGCTTCAAACAATCCTTGAGAAAAGCCTCATGATTAGTACAAATAACTCGTTTGCGACAATCACCAACACATGCGTCGAATTTTGATTCGTTACTAAAAACTACTCAACAGAGACAAAAAACTTAATACTTTAGAAACTTACCTCATAGGTCTAGCACTTTCAGAGTCTTCGCAGAATGGAGTAGTGTTCAACACCCTTGTAACAGCAACCGATACTGGCACTTTGTTCGAAGTATCTTCAATATCTTTCGGTTCTAGCTCTATACACCTTAATGTAATAACTTTAAGTGAAAAATCCTTATGTTTATCCTTGATATGTCTTTCAATTTTATGTTCAATATTGTGGACATAATCACAATATTGGCATTTATATAAGTATGAGCCATGCAGGTTAAGATGATTAATTATATCATTTGCATCAGAGTTTAAATTTACTTTGCAATGTACGCAGCTGAAATTAAGTTCTTGACTATGAAGTACTGTAAAATGATGGCGCAGGTTTTCCTCTTCCGGACAAATGTATTTACAACCCTTAGCACAACAAGTGTACCGTAAACATGATGGAACGAAATCCGGAAAGTTACTAGTATCTAAAAAATATAAACTTGTTTATTTCTTAAATTCAATAATTTTTATTCTTGTATTGTATAAGTTAAACTCGTCAGTTTCAGATTACAAGCGAAGCAGTAACATCTCCAGAAGATGCCAACTCCTAGTGTTGGCGAAACGTCGAGAACTAATCTCAGAAGACAACGGCCTGACAGCCCGAACAAACAGTTTAACAAGTTAGACGATGGCCGTGAAAGCCTAATGCATTTTATATTTAAAGGGTTTCAAACATCTAAATCCGGATAACACTCATGATGAAATATTTATTCGGAAAATGTTCTGGGATGTAGCCCGATGGGGTTTTTTAAATATTAATATACCTTTTATATACGATTTTTTAAAGACAAGATGCACTACAGAGCAGAGGACGCCTACCAACTAGATGGACTGACGACCTGCAGCGTTTTAGTAGTAACTAGAAGCAAGACGCACAAGACAAAAACAGATGGAAGGAGCTGAGAAGACCTATGTCCAGCACTATCTGTTCCTCTCTACGATTTCTCTCTTTTGTAATAAGCTTTACCTATTTGGCTTAAATCAATATCTGGTTTGTTTTCTCTCTTCCTGGGATTCTCCAGGTTCCTTAGGAAATGTATTATCATTTAAAATGGCTACTCATGATTTTCAGATTCTTCTAAATCGCCAGCTTTATTAATATTACACAATTGTCATACTTACTTAAAATTTACTGTCAGTTCCTATAAAGTTAGGAATTTAACATTTACTATCTCAAAGTGAAGATGATTTCTAACGGATACTGCACCAATTCAATATAACCGCCAGAAAATTTAACATGTTAATTTCCCCAAAAAAGACAAAATGAGTGGTTATAACAGAAAATTTACTAAGATCTTTAATTGAAGATGGAAGGTCAGATAATAGAACAAGTGATGGAGTTTAAATATCTAGGCATCACATTATCTAGCTCCGGAAAGCTCGAAACAGAAGTGGAAGATCAAGTGAATAGAGCAAATAGAACCGCAGATTGCCTGAATGGAACAATATGGAGAAATATAAATATCGGGAAAGAAATGAAAGGCAGAATTTACAAAACAGTTATCGGACCAATAATGACATACACGGCAGAATGACACAGAGAGGACAGTAGTAACGACGGGAAAAGACGGCTCCCAATAGAAAGGCGATCAGTAGGGTTAAACGGAGCACCTGCTGCTAGGACTTGCAAATCCCTCAGGATGGTCCAACATTACTAATCTTGATTAACCATGAAAGCCACTTCTTCATTGAGACACTAAATTTAGCAACACAAGACAACGGAGTTTCCATGCTCACTTTACCGCCACATTGTTCCAACAAATTGAAGTCACTAGATGTGGCTGTTCATGTTCCATTTAAAACATTCTATACTAGTCCTATGAATTTACGAAAGATGACAAATCCAGGAAAGCCGATAACAATTTTTCAAATCGCGGAATGTGTCGGATATGCGTTTGATAAATGTATGACCCTCATTAACATAAAGCCCGGTTTTAAAAAATGTGAATTAGTGCCTTTTAATTAATACATCTTCGATGAAAGTCACATTTTGATTAGTAACGTAAAAGATAGGAATGAAACATTAGAGAAGGGTGATACAAATCGCTAAGAATGTCAGCCAAGCTGCAGCAAAAATTTGACAAATAAAAAGCCTGGTTTTCATCACAATGAAGAAATTGTAGAAATTGACGAGAAACGTCAGCTCTTCAGAGAAGTCCAAAACAAATGTTTGTTTATCCCAAAGCAGAACCCCAAAAAATCTCAAAATGAGAAAAAAAGGCGGTAATAATATTAATACAGAAAAAAGAAATTTATCACGGATAGACGATGATAGAAAAGTAAAGAGAGTACGGAAGGAAAAACCAATAGGAAAAAAATAGAAAAAGAAGTCCGGTTAAAGATTGAAACAGTGACATGTCATAAATGCTCAAAAGAGGGGCATACGATGACAAGAAGGAAAACAAATGGCACAGAACAGAAAAGAATGGAGAAAGTTATCAAAAGTTAGATGCACTAACCTTTGATACATAACAGTATAAGAGGGACCTTATAAATAAGTCTATATATATATAAGTGAAACATTAAATTAGATGTAAAATAGCCAGATAATAATATGGGTGTGTCAGAACAACAATGGTCCAAGTTCAGTATTTTTTTTATGTTTTTGCCTATTTATTATCTCTAAAAGCCATTGTTTTCAATGCAACAAACAGCCAAGTCCTATCTCTATTGGTTATACCGTAGACAGCACAAGATTACAGTTGTGAAACGAATTTGTTATGATTCAGCGCAACAGTGAGTCAAGTCCACCTGCGTCTATGAATGCGTTAGTTAAAACGTAATAATATTGTGTTCGATGTAAGCCGTTGTAAATGTTTCAGTTTAAAATCTGTTGCAATCGTGTTCAGTTGTGAAATTTTATTAGTTAATTTGATATGGATTTAAATACACAAACCGAACCTGAAAACAATCAGACTACCCGAAAGAGGTTAAGAAATCCTCAAAAATGGCAGCGTAATTCACGCAAGGCTTTGCGAAACAGTGGCATGACATACAAAACCAGCAGGAGAAAAGTCGTTAAAGGTAAAGTTTTCCTATCTGACTTTGACTGTCGCTGTCGGCGAAAATGTATAGAAAAAGTTGATATAAACAAACGGCGTTCATTGTTTAACTCGCGTTAGCATTTAGGAGATTATAGCCAGCAAAACACCTACTTGTGTGTCTGTATAAAAATTACAAAAACTGTGAGATCCCGTATACGAAATGGGAACGGTGCTCCCAAAAATCGTTCATATAAATACTTTCTGGATACAGGTGATGAGAGTATTCAAATATGTAAGAAACTATTTCTTAAAACCTACTGTATCAGCTGGGGAAGAGTTGAAAGATGTCTTGTTAAGGAAGAATTCCACAGCGTTATTGAGGCAAGGGGAAGAGCACCAACTAAAAATAAAATAAACGATGCTGATGTACGAGGCCACATCGCATCTTTCCCATCATTCTCGAGTCATTATTCTCGTACACACAACCCCAACCGTAAATATTTGAACAGTGAATTGACAATCAAGAAGATGTACGACTTATACGTAGAAAAGTGTACATTAGAAAACAAGTCACCTATTAAACACAAGTAAAACTACCAAGTTTTTAACACCAAATTCAATTTACACTTTAAACCTCCGAGCAAAGACACTTGCAGTAAGTGTGATTCTTGGTCAATGAAACTGAAGGTGGAGAGTGATGAAACCGTTTGACATTCTATCTCGTTGACATTCTATCTTCAAAAAGCTCTGCCTTTTCCTAAGTTGACCACTTCAATAGCTTACTATAAACGCAAAATGTATGCTTACAACTGCGGTGTTCATCCTATAAATGCAGGCCCACCTGTAATGTATGTTTGGGATGAAACAGAGGGTGGAAGAGGGTCCCAAGACATAGCTTCAGTTCTCGAAATGCATCTAAAAAAATATGCACCGACTCATCAAAAAATTGTTATATACAGTGATAGTTGTGTAGGGCAGAACCGTAACATAAATGTTTCGTTAGTGCTTCTACGGCTTTGCCATGATGATGAAATGGCTGTGCAAGAAATAGATTAATGTTTTATGATTTCAGGTCATTCTTATCTTCTGAATGACTCAGACTTTGGGATAGTAGAAAGGTTCAGCAAAAATAAACTCATATACGACCAGAAGATTGGATCAAAATTATAGAAGGTGCCAAAAAGAAAGGAGATCCTTATAAAGTGGTACATTTAAAACATGAGAATTTCATTTCCACAAAAAACCTTAAAGCAAATATTAC